CTTTATGGATCTCTTCGTATAAAAAGGAGCTGACATCTGTGTACCAAGCATAAGTAGCCTGAGGCAATGTGCCCTCCTGTATGTGTGAAGGGTGAGGTAACAGTTCCTCTAAGGTTTCAATGCAGGAATGAGAAGGAAAATAGTTAGCATTAGGTTGAGGGAGGAGGCTTGAAATATTAAGAGGTGGACAGGTCCAGAAAGTAAGTGTGGCATCCTCTAGTAATACCACCTGGAAAGAAAGAACATGGGAAGGAGGTAAAGTTTGTAATCCTTTATAAGTTAAGAGATGGGACAAGTTATGGTGAGAGAAGACAGTTATAGATGACCCAAAGGTTAGCTTCTTTGATTCCCAAATAAGGAGCTCAGCAGCTGCTAAGGCACAGATGCAAGGTGCCCAGCCCTGACTGGTAAGGTCTAACTTCTTCGACAGATATGTTACAGGTGCAAAGGAGGGTCCCAGATGATGCCCTAGAGTTCCCAGGGCAAATCCCTCCTTCTCTGCTACATAGAGGGAGAAGGGATGGGTTAGGTATGGGAGGTAAAGCACTGGGGCCTGTAGAAGAGCCTGTTGGAGCTTCTGGAAAGGTTTAGTAACAGGATGGAGGAGAGGCTCATGTTGGAGAGCCCTGAGCTGCCTCGTAAAAGAGGTGAGCAAGGAGAAAAAAAGATGGAACCCAAGACCGTAGGAAGCCAGCTATTCCTAGAAAAGACAGAATCTCTTGTTTAGTAGAAGGGACTGCAAGAGGCTAGATTAGATGCTTTCTGTCTACAGTAATAGCCTTGTTGATTAGAGTAATAGTTAGACCCAAATAGGTGACCTGGGGAGTGGACAGCTGAACTTTAGAAGGGGATACCCTGTAGCCTCAGCTGGATAAGAAATTTAGGAGAGCAGAGGTATTAGTTTGGCTAACCTTTAAGGATGGGCTACAGAGTAAAATATCATCTACATACTGTATTAGTTTAGAGCCCAGGAGAGACAGAGAAAGCAAGTCAGAGGCCGGAGCCTGACCAAATAGGTGTGGACTGTCCCTGAATCCTTGTGGCAGAACAGTCCAGGCCAGCTGTGTGGACAAGTGAGTGTCAGGGTCAGCCCAGGTGAAAGCAAAGATATTTTAAGACTGAGGAATAGAAAAGAAGGCATCCTTAAGATCTAGAACTGAGAAGTGAGAGGTTCCTGAAGGGACAGTGGACAGGAGAGTATAAGGGTTAGGCATTACTGGATGGTGGGGGACCACTGCAGAATTAATGAACCAGAGGTCATGAACCAGGCAGTAGGTTCCACTGGACTTTTTAACAGCAAGTATGAGAGTATTAAAAGGCGAAGGGGTTGGGTGGAGCAGCTTTTCCCTGAGAAGGTCAGAAATGCTAGGATAGGCTTAAGTCCTCTTAGGCTCTGGAGTGAGAGAGGGTACTGAGCTTGGGTGACATATCTGGTAGGGTCCTGTAACAGGATAGTAATAGGTTGATGGTGCCTAGTGATAGAAGGGTTCTGGGTGTCCCAGACTTTTGAGTCTACCTGAGAGGCAGGCAAGGGAAAGGAACTATTAGAGTCAATAGAGTACGTGGGAGGAGGAGAAGTGTGTGTGTGTGTGTGTGTGTGTGTGTGTGCGCGCGCGCGCGCATTGCGTGCACATGAGCATGTGCATGCAATATGCTTTCTCCTTGGTCTTATGGGGATTGTGTTCCCTTCTTCCCTTCTGGGACCTCTAGTTTGTTCTCAGCATCTCATTTCTTATATTAGATCTCCCCACAAATATTCCCATGGTAACCAGAAACCTAGGAGGGGGATCATTAATCGTGAAGGAAAGTGTGTCCTCCTGCAACTTTATTTTCCATCAAGAACATCACATTTAGAGATAAGTTTCTACCCTTCAGCAGATTTGCATACAGCATGCTACTGCTGATTGCAGGCTTTCCGTGGTGTTCATCAGTTTCTCATGAGAAGACTTACTCTGGTCACAACAGAGTAGGAGTTGACAAGTTAATCCCATGCAGGGTTCTGAGCTGTAGGAATAACCTGAGACTTCTCTGCAGTGTTGTGTAGGCTCCACTAGAGGGCAGGCATAGAATTTTCTAGGTTGTTCACATTCACCTGGTATCTAATCAAGGCCAGGTATATCTTTCCTGAACTGTGACTCAGATGTAACTGAGTGGTCATGACACAGGTGTGTGGGTTCATGTGGGTCCATGGAATGAAGATTCAGAGGCATCTTAAGAATGTATTTACCTTTGACGGCTATAGGGGGTGGGGGTCCAGCCTCGAAGGACTGAAGCCCCTTCCCTTTTCTTCAGGCCAATTTTATTTTCCTCCAACACAGTTTAGCCAGTTAATTTCTAAATGCTCAAAACAACCTGAAAAGGACTCCCAACATTACAATGCCAAGTGAAAATTCCTTGATTTGTCAGGTACCACGGTTTTCTGGGTTTTCTGAATCAAGTTTTGTATAGGCCTTTGTATCTTTGGGAAACTCTGAGACAAGATTCACATAGAGGACAACAAGGGAAACAAAAGGTGTCTGGTAAACAAAAGATGGATTAGGGATAGGTGCTACTCTCTGGAGTTAGGCCAGGTGCAGCTCAGCAGGAATGCCACCACAGATCCCCTTTTTATTTAAAAAAAAAAAAAATTAACTATCTTGTAGGTTATGTTGTCTTACAGCAAATATAGCCTTCTTTCTATTTGTCTAACAATCTTATGCAAGTATACCAAAACACATTTTAAAGTCAAATAAGTTACTATTGCTAGAACAAGGGCAACACCTGTTAGGATAAGAAATCTATTAAAGTGACTCATAGGATTGAATGAGGCTGTAGTATCTGTTAGATAAAATAATCTAGTGGTTTGGATTTCTTTATAAAGTGTCACTCATTGGTTGCTATCGTAGCTGTCAATGCAGTGATTCCCCATCATAACTGCAATCATCAGTCTAGCCATTTTCAATATTCTTTTAGTGAGCTTCTGTACCAGGATCATCACAGGAGAGTCTTGCCATAGCCTCAACAACTTCACTGATATCCAGATTGCTGGCCTTGCTCTAAGAACATATAAACTTTTAAAGGTCAAATTTAAAAGCATGCTAGAACTAACACAGGTATGAAAGGTACACTATTCACAAGTGATGTTGTAATTATTTGAGAGTCATTGTACAGGCCCCTTTAATAGCAACTAAGGTAATGGTACACATGCCATAATAGGATTGCTTTGATTTAATCTAAAAGACAGAGTATACTTATCTTTAATGTTTAATTTTCCTTCTCATGCCTTAAGAGGGTGGAAGGCACTTACTAATTTCCACAAGTTAGTCTGAATTGAATTGCTAAATTGTAGGAGAGGACTTGCCATTCCAACTCCATGCCACTGAATAGGTTAATTAATAGAAGCACTGATTTCCACAGTTCCATTTATATTATACCTTTTCTGTCTTAACTCTGAGTGAGAATATTTTCCTTGAGGTGAGCCATAAGGGCTCCAATCAATGACGTCTCCATTAGAGATATTAATTAGCACTCAAGGTTTCTCACACTTACACCGTTGCCATTATACCCAGTCAGATTTCTTGTTGGTAACCTTCATCTCACAGAATGGTAAATTTATGGAATTAGTAGCATTAATCTCTTGTCCTTTAAAACTGGATGCATGAAGCATATAAAACTTATGATAATCTTGGGTAGTATTGACTATGGATAAGAGGTCATTTTTAGGCATTGAATTCCATTTCCCATGCAAATAGGAATTTCTTGTACTCCAATAGTGTAATTGTCAATCACTTTACCCTCTTCCATGGGCTGAGCAGGACCTCAGCTGTCATAAGGACTAGGTAGCCAACAAGATTCATTAACCATTACAGGAATATTTCTATCTCCCCAACTTACTGCTATATTAATTGGAGCATTGGGGATATAAGCCCAATAATTATGATCCATCCTTTTTACCTGCACTGTCACCATGGAAAGCATAGCAAGAAATAAGTTTGTGGCATTCAGAAGCTTGTGAGTCATGTGAAGTATCATCTCTTCTTTGTTACACAAACTCTTAAGCTGTGCCCAGGTTGGAAGGATTAGTTGTTGCAAAGGTCTCCAGTGGAAACATAAGCATAACCTCGGCCCTAACTTAACACTTTCCTTGGACTATTTTGATCCTAAAATATTTATAATACATGGGCTTGACTTAATTCAGCAATTCTTTCCATAACTCAATTTTGTTCCTGCTTCATTAGCATTTAAACATTTTAAAATTAGTAGGGCATTATTCAGTCATATCTCCAAAGTAATGTCTTTGGATTGTTGGAGAAATAATGCTGTTTTTTTCTAGTCCACCACAGTGTGTATTTTCCAGTTCATCTTCTAGCAGTTTTTAAAAGTTGAGAAAAAATCCTGCCTGGGTGCTCTCTGACCCTTTTCCCTTGGGGAACTAGGGAATGAGCTCAACTGAAAGATAATGCTGGACTGTCTAGCTGAGTAAAGCTTGTGGGGGCTCAAAAGCTGACATGACCAGGCCTGTGACCCAGCTTCCTTCCTCCCCTAGGTTTGAAAACCCCCAGGAGGAACTGGAACAGACCATAGCCCAGAATGAGAGCCTCCTGCAGATGGAGCTACTGAAGCAGAAACACTATGTCCCAGACAATTGAGCCACCATTTAGCCCCATCCCCAGCAGCCAGGGTATTCATGGGGTGGGTTTTCTTCCTTAACTTTTGTTAAGGGACTAATAGGCCCTGACTTTTCTTGCCAGTGGCACAGCAAGACTGTTTCTAAATCTGATTTCTTTTACTAATTTTTTTTCTCACAGCACCTCTTAAGAGAACTGAGAAGGCTGGAAGAAGCTAGAGACACCTTGAAGGCATGACATTCTACACTCCAGGATCAAGGCCTCCTCATAAAATGCTACCTCCTTGCAGCTGCGAACTTACTAGTGAGGCAAGTATTCACCTACCATCAGGCGATCCAGCTCCAGTCTGATCCACATCTATTGGCTCACTATTCCAGAGAAAAGATTGTATCAGAAATAAGTTTGAGATATAGAGAACACAACATGAATTACTCAGAACCCTGACATCCATCAGAAAGTGGCCCCAGTGAGGGATAAAATAACATGGAGGAGGATATGTGGGTGAGCAAGAGTTATTTTGTCAGCTTACTGTCAAGGGCTTTAGCAAGCTGACTCCATATGTGGCATATGTGTTAATGTCACACAACCATCCAAATGGACCACACCCATAGCATAAGATTTCCTCCAATGCAGTGCTAAAGCTGATGCCATGTCATGTGCCAGTGTTGCTGAAGATAATTCACTCCAGAGAATAAACCAGTTCCTCACTGAAAGGGTACTGGCACTGGTGGCTGGCTCTGGTTACTGCATGGAAAGGTCACAGTCACGAAAGAACCCAGTGGTACCTTTTAGAGCTTTATTAGGAGAGGGGGGCGCTGGCAGAGAAGAAACACAGATAGAGGGGTGCAGAGAAAGAGAGAGACTGAGAGAGATGCAGAGAGAGAACATGGGGATGCACGTCCAACTTTTAGGCAGGGATGTAGTCACCTGGGAATGGCATAATAAGGTGCCAGACAAGACCCCAAGCTGTGCATATATAGAATCCTTACATTCCAGACTTTGCTTATTATTTTAAAAAAGGAAGCAAATAGAAATAGGGGTGTTGTTTCTCCCAGGAAAAACTGCTTCCAGATGACTTGGAGGGCATTGGTTGGATCTTGAGTGGAATAGGGAAGGGGAGGTCTTCTGAAGTAGATAGGTGTTGTTGGATGATGGGCTGTCCATCCTGGAGCTATGCATCTTTCTTGGCTTGGCACTCTGACTGCTTTTATATCTGACAGGATGCTGGTGAGACAAGAAAAGCCTGAAGTAGGTCTGATCTGTCCAGATGGATTTAAGCTGGTTTCTGGAGCTTGGGAAAAGTTTTGAACATGTTAAGAAGCAGCCATTAGAAGATTAGTGACCATATGTGGTGTTTAGTACTCTACCTATATTGGCTAGTGTTAATGGGAGAGACAGAGAGATTGGAACATGTTAAGATTTATCAGAGAGAGATTATTTTAAGGCACCTATTTCCTTTACTAGTTTGGCATCCAGGAGACAGGTTGTTAAAAGCATTTCACAATAATAGATGTTTATATTAAAGTCTGTTTTTGTAGAGCCCAGATTAAAGCCTATTTTTGTAGAGCCCAGACACTTTTGCCTCTGGGGGTGTAAATACCTTTTCACTGTTACAGTTTCTTACTTGGTGATCTCTGGACTTCAGTTCTGAGGTGATCCTGTACCATTAGCTGAAAAGTGAGTTAGAACAGGGAACTGGGAAGAGAAAAGTTTGCGGTGCATGAGAACTTATTTTTTTTAATTAGGGACAAGGCAAAGATTGGGGCCCTATCTGTGTGCACGTGAGAAACGCAGGCAGGTAGGTCTGGAGTGAGGCATATGGAAGCTCCTATCTTTTCTGGAAACCTTTGCCCTTAAGTAACCCCGAAAGTGCAATTAAATCTGGTGAGGTGGGTAAGGCTGTCCTCCCTACCCCAACAATAGGGAAACGAGGAGAGGTAACATCTCCAAACTCCCAGAACTGGGTCAGTGGCTCTAGTGTCCAGAAAGAAAGAAATGGATCGCTTCCCTACTGCATTCTGGGTTCCCTGCATGCCTGTAACCAAGCCTATGTCTGCTAGAGGTCTTAGCTTGATGTTCCCATGCATCTTGGTGCCTGGGGGCAGTAAGCTGACCAGTTATCTTTCTAGGCAGCACTTTCAACAAGGCTATTGATGGTCTGGCAGGGCACTCGCTAGCCCATGGCCTTTTTCCACACTTTGAACAGGGACCCAACAGCATTTCGGGAGTCAGCAAGTACCAGCACTTGGCAATTGTGTTTTGGGGCTTTTATCTCTTCCCTGACACACCTTGAATGCCACAGATTACACTTTTGCCTGTGGGGTCAGGAGCCTTGCTCTCCAGATGCTTAAGTTTTAGTCAGGGAGGTCTGGAGAACAAGAGACGGGTTTTACTTTGTGTCTTGAATTTTTTTTCCTTGATGATTGCTGGCTTAAGGACAGCTTTTTGGAAGATCTGCCAGGAGGCAGACTATAAACTGATCTCTGAATTACAAGCCATCTTGATTGCTGTAAACTTATTTGTATGAATCTTAGCCCACTTCCAGATCCATTTGTGCCTCTCACAGCAGCTTGAGAATGAGTGGGAGGAGTTAAGGTGAGTTAAAGTGAGGGTCAGCAGAAGTGGCCCACAACAGTACAGAGCCTGCCCACTCATTAAGGAGTTAAGGTGAGGCGAAGTGAACCCAACCACACAACAGTAGAGAGCCCTCCCACTGCCAGAGAGCAGAAGGCAGAAGGCAGACAGACAGAAATGGTTGCATGTGGCAGAGAAAAAGAAAACATCAGAAATGGGGAGGGAGAAGGGTTCAGAGCTTTAGCAGAAAGCTTGGAGATATGGTAACTTTTTTTATTTGCCCATTCACTTGCAGAAGTTCCTGCAAAGCTGTTATGTGGTCACAGATTTTGTCCCCTTTGTCCCATGACTACAGCCAAAAGAAAAATAAAAAATTAAAATAACAAACTGGGATCAGACTCCAATCCCAGGCATCCCTGAGGCAAGGAGAAAGATCTATGAATCAGCTCAAGTTGGCCCCCACTTCATCAAAGGAGAGCTAGGGGCTGGGGTGTACCCCACATGTGGACCACCCATTGGACCAAGACAACATTGACCTCCTTGGTCAGGAGTGAAAATGTGTCATTGCCAGCACAGCCTGAGGACCACCCCCCAGGGGGTCAGTCACAAAGGCTGCAGCTGCAGCCTCCAGAGGGTGGAGGACTCACATGTGGTAGAGAAACATGGTGTTAGTGGTGAGAGTGGTGTGTGGGTCCAGCGGCTGGAAGCCTTGGCAGAAGTGGAGGCTCAAGGGCAGGAGACGCACATGTGATCTCACTGGAAGAAGGTGGTGACGGAGGTCACACGAGTGGTGAGCAGGGTCGCAAGCCCTTGGTATAGAGTACGGCACCAATGAAAGGTGTCAGCACTGGTGGCCAAAGGTCACAGTTATGACAGAACCCAGTGGTGCCTTTTAGAGCTTTATTAGGAGGAGAGAGAGAGAGGGAGAGAGAGAGAGAGAGAGAGAGAGAGAGAGAGAACAGGCCTGGCAGAGAAGAAACAGATAGAGGGGCTCAGAGAGAAGCAGACAGAGTGTGGGGTTGCACATCCGGCTTTTAGGCTGGGACACAGTCACTCATTGATGGTGTAATAAGGCAACAGACAAGACCCCAAGCTGCGCATATGCAGAATGCTTACACTCACCTCATTTGCTCTTCCATAATGAAATTCCAAAATAAACTCTGAAATTTGTTTAATTTTGGTTTTGTTTGTTTGTTTGTTTTTTGTTTATATCTTGGGATATTTCTGCTTTGGTTTTTTGGTTTTCTTCATTTTGGTTTAAGGTTTTGTTGATTTTTATTATTTCTTTTATTCTTGTTTTAATAGTTTGCTAAGGCTATACACTGCTATTTTTTTTTTTTTTTTTGGTTTTTCGAGACAGGGTTTCTCTGTGTAGCTTTGCGCCTTTCCTGGAACTCACTTGGTAGCCCAGGCTGGCCTCGAACTCACAGAGATCCACCTGCCTCTGCTTCCCAAGTGCTGGGATTAAAGGCATATGCCACCACCGCCCGGCGACTGCTATTTTTAAAGCCCCCATTTAGTAAAATGAATATATTTTTATGAATAAAAAAAACAATTTCCAACTTTTCACTCTTAAGACTCTTCTTTAGTCAGGTGAGGTGTTACACTCCTATAAATCCAGAACTCACAGGCATGGATGTATCTCAGCAATTTCTAGGCAGCTTGGGCTGTACAATGATTTCCCAGCAATGGGTCTCAGGGCTACACAGGGGGATGGCACCTTGGATGTGGATGGCATTGCCTACTCCATGGATGCCCACTATATAATAGAAAAACTAGACATATTGTATCCTTAAGATCATATATTTACCTGCCAGTGACACACAGGTTCATGAAATCCTCATGTAGATCAAATTAAAGGCTCCAGGCCTCTCAGTAAATGAGAACATCCATTAAAGGTATATAAAAGAAATCAGGAAATGAAAATCAATCTGCCTCTAGATTTCTTGAAATATAACATGAGTGATAACTGAACAGCAGAGATAATTTCCTGTAAGACATGTTGGAATATTTTGTGGTGCTTTTCTTTATACTTATGGGTGTTTTGCCACCATGTACATCCAATTCCTACAGAGGCATTTTGGTTTTTCATTCCTCACTTAAGCTAGAACCTCCCTACCTCATGTAATTACTCATGTAATTGTATTACTGTGTGTTCCATTTGAGAAATTTCAGACTTTTGTTATTTTATTTTCTTGGCCAGAAGCTATAGAAACCAAGTAGGCCAGCATCAAAGCATCACCTAAGAAAAACAGGTTAAGGGAATGTGACCATCTAGAATTTGTAACTGAGTAAGGCTATTCTGAGGCTCAAACTACTCTAAATGTTCTTCTATACATGTCTGGTTTATTGGTCAGGGTTCTATGGGGTAACAGAACTTATAGAATGAATTTCTATATATACAGAAAGGGTATTGAAGGGTATTTTTAATGACTTAGAGGCTAGGGTACAGCTAATTCAGCATTGGGTGGCTATGATGGCAAAGTCCAAGAATCCAGTAGTTTCTCAGTCCACTAGGCTGGATGTCTCAGCCCATCTGTAATATAGTCTGGAATCCCAAAGAAGCTGGCTCCAATGCCAGTGAAGGAAAGATTTGCTATCAAGGTGAAAGCAAGCAGCTAAACAGCAAAAGCTCCCTTCTTGATTTCTTTATATAGGCTTCCAGCACAAAGCATGGCTGAGATTAAAGGTGGGGTTTTTCACCTCAAAACATCTGAGTTAAAGGTGTGTCTTTCCCTATCAATATCCAGATTAAAGGAATGTCTTCGTACTACAAAGATCTGGATTACATATGGATCTTCCTTCTTCAAATTAATCAAAAATTCTCCACAGATGTGCCCCTCCATTTTAGGTTTTAGTTAATTCCAGATGTAATAAATTTGACAACTAAAAATAGCTATCACAACTTCACCCCATGTCAACTTGACACACAATTGTATCTTTTTATGTCATGATTAATTTCCAAATATAAAACAGTAACCAAGTCATATTAACACCTAAACATGATATAACTATTCCAAGTACAAGGCAAACACATTATATATTAGACTAGCTCAAAATTATGCCTAACATGATTTACCTATCTGTGTACAACTGCAAACACATTATAAAGTTAGAATAAGTAGCAATGTCCCTTGAGGGACATTCTTTTAAAATCTCAAATTTAAATATGATAACCATCAAGTTCTCCTTTCTTTTGGCATGAATTTGTCTTTATTTATTTATTTAGTTAGTTAGTTAGGTAGGTAGGTAGGTAGGTAGGTAGGTAGGTAGGTATTTTTGGTTTTACATCACAAACAAAATTTCCCCTCCCTCCTCTCCTCTAAGTCCCTCCCCCACTCCCCCTTTTCCTGCTCCCCATCCATTCCTCCTCCTCTCTTTTCTCTTCAGAAATGGGCAGGCCTCCTATGGATATCTGCCAGCCAAGTTGTATCAAATTGTGATGAGACTAGGCATGTCCTCTTCTATTACAGCAATTTAGTAGGAGGAATGGTTCCCAAAAGCAGGCAATAGAAACAGGTCCTGTTCTCACTGTTAGGAGTTCTACAAGGAGACCAAGTTACTCAACTGTAACATATATGCAGAAGTCCTTGTCCCATGCATGCTTCCTGGTTGGTGGTTCAGTCTCTATGAGCCACTATGAGCCTAGGTTAGTTAGTTCTGTGGAATCTCTGGTAGTGCTCCTGACCTCACTGGCTTCTACAAAAATTTAGTTATTATTTTATGTGCATTGGTGTTCTGCCTTTATGTATGCCTGAGTGAGAGTATCAACTCCTCTGGAACTGAAGTTACAGACAGCTGTGAGCTACATGTGTTTTTTTTTCATTATTTTAAACAGTAATTATTTTATATGATGAGTGTATGGAAATCTACTGATGGGTATTTAAAATAATATATATTTATTTATTCAGAGAGAAGGGGAAATATATCTGTATAAATAGTATATATTTATAAATATTATACATATGTATATATTAGAGAGAGACAATGAACATACAATACATGTCATGCCATTCCATCATTCCATTCATATGGAGGCTAAGGGACAAATTAGGAGTCAGCTCTTTCCTTCTACCCACTTAGCCATCTCAGTGGCCCTTCCCTGATACTTTTCATGATCA